GACAAATCCCCACAATTTGTGAAAGTGGAAGGAGCCGTCCTTGTGTTTCTCCCGGGTCTGGCCCACATTCAGCAGCTCTTTGACCTGCTCACTTCAGACAAGAGGTTCAAGGACAAAAACAGGTGACTTACACAAATTCAAGTAATTATATGTAAGCCAATACACACCCCTGAAAAACGGGACAAATGCTTTTTTATTTGTCCTCTTTCAGGTACAAAATTGTTGCCCTTCACTCGACTCTGTCTTCGAAGGACCAGTCTGCTGCCTTTACAGTGCCACCTGCTGGAATCAGAAAGGTACTTCAAAGAATGTGTGGTCCAAGCATAGAGACATAAGAAAAGAAAACAGTCACAGTTGATGATTCAATATATTTGATCATTTTAATGTTGCATAAGACTATCTCACAATTCATCTACTTATTTTGCCTCTTTTATGAAGAGAATAAGATTTTGATTCTCTATTCAAATAAAACCATGCGACCGGACAAATTGAATTTGTATCCTTCAATCTCTTTTAGATCGTTTTGTCGACCAACATCGCTGAGACAGGTGTGACTATTCCTGACGTTGTGTTTGTGATTGACACTGGAAAGACGAAAGAAAACAAGTAAGGGATCACAAATTTGACCAGGAATCTAATGCAATTCATACTGTTGTTTATATATTATTTATATTAAGGAGAAAAAAAACAGACTTCTGCTCTCATAGAAAGTTGACTACTAGATCTTGTTCCTGTCTGACTTAAGCCCTCAAATACATTCAGTTGTTGGATACTTAAAAAAAAAGAAGAACAGAAAAAGCTTTAGGCTGTCTATAGATAGATAGATAGATTTCTCTCATAAAAATCATTCCATCCTCATGGTGGTGCTGCAGTCGAAGACTGAGGGTGATGAAATCATTGTGATACATCATGAACAACTTTACCAGGTTTCATGGCCATCCGTCCAGTAGATGATGATGTTCTCCTCTGGACCAACGTTTCCACTTTTTAGCCAGTAGCACGGATTATTCTAATAATCATTATTCAACTTGTATGTCGGGAGTCGACTTGAGCTATTCCTCATGTGTTGTTCAGGTACCACGAGAGCAGCCAGATGAGTTCTCTGGTGGAGACTTTCGTTTCCAAAGCGAGCGCCCTCCAGAGGCAGGGCAGAGCGGGACGAGTGAAAAACGGCTTCTGCTTCAGACTTTACCCAAAATTCAGGTACAGAGAGCGTTGATGCCCATCTGATGATTAAAGAAACACATGCATGAATCCTGGTTTAGTTCAATCTGATCTGTTCAGCTCTTCATTAATCCTGTGTCCTCAGGTTTAATGCCTTCATGGATTACTCCATCCCAGAGATACTGAGGGTCCCACTGGAGGAGCTCTGCCTTCATATTATGGTATTCAAGATTAAAAAAAGAAGGCAAAATGTTGACCTTCTACTGAATTTTGAAACTACTAAAGCCTCTGTTATTAAATGACAACTCCCCCATTGCCTGATTGTCTCCCCTAACCTCATGTAGAAATGCCAGTATGGCTCCCCAGAGGACTTCCTGAGCCGGGCCCTGGATCCTCCTCTGCCGCAGTCTGTCAGCAACGCCGTCAACCTGCTGAGGAAGATCGGAGCGTGTCACCCCAACGATCACACCCTCACTCCCCTGGGACACCACCTGGCCAGTCTACCTGTAAATGTGAAGATCGGCAAGATGCTCATCTATGGCGCCATCCTCGGCTGCCTGGAGCCCATAGTGAGTCTCACTGCCTCAAGTATTCCCAAAACAAACACTTTCACTACAATTCTTAGAAACCGTGTGAGAATGTTTCCGTATTACTCCAAATTCTGTATCTTTTTCATGATTTATAGGCTCATTACTCTCCATGAATAATAATAATAAGACTTTTGTTTCCAGGCAACCATTGCAGCAGCCATCAATGAGAAGTCTCCTTTCTCCACACCGATGAACAGGAAGGACGAAGCCAACCTGGCCAAAGCTGCTCTGGCAGTCGCAAACTCAGATCACCTGACAATATACAACGCATATCTAGGGTACAGACTTTCAACGCAGCTTTTCTTTCCTTTTCATAAAGGAGCATATCTGGGATTTTTAGAAGCCCAAGTCTGGATTAAATATTGCAATGGTCACAGGACCAACTCCCGCCCTGACGCTATTCAGTGCATGACATTCTCCACTCTCTCGCCCCATATTTCCCATCTCTCCCCAGTCAAATAAAGACCTAAAAGATCATCTTTAAAACTATGATTCCTGATATCTCAGTGTTTGTCTTCACTTTCTAATGCCATTTTTTTCATTCATCCTGTTAGGTGGAAGAACTCACAGATTGACAGAACAGAAATGTCCTACTGTAGGAAACACTTCCTCAACCGTACAGCTCTCATTACAATAGAGGTAACAAAGGATTCTCTGTTAAATGCTTTAAAAAAAAATGTTTCTCTTCCACTGCCTGTCTGATCCTTTGTGTTTGACACGACAACAAACCATCTTTTCTCCAGGATGTGAAGCATGAGCTGATGAGGATGATGGAGCAGGTGGGTTTCTGGTCGTCTCGCTCCTCCTCATCTCGCTCCAAGCCGCAGGCTCCAAAGCTGTCAAGGCAGCAGATCTCTGTCCTGAACGCAGTGCTGACGGCCGGGCTGTACGACAGCGTGGGCCGGGTCTTATGCACCCCGTCTGTGGACGTTCTGGAGCGCGTGGTCTGTACGGTGGAGACACCTCAGGGTAAAGCTCAGGTCCACCCCTCGTCAGTGAACCGCAACCTGCAGACCCACGGGTGGCTTCTGTACCAGGAGAAGGTAAGGGTGAAGAACGTGTGTGCGTGTGTGTGTTGTGTTATATCTGCTTGTCTGTTAGTCATGTTTGTGGTTTTTTTTCTACAGGTGAAGTACACTAAGATCTACCTGCGGGACACCACCCTGATTCCTCCTTTCCCGTTGCTGCTGTTTGGAGGTGACATCGACATTCTGCACAGAGAGAGGCTCATCACACTCGACGGGTGGATTCACTTTCAGGTCAGAAGCAACAGCAGTTGTGTTCTTGCAAGCTAAACTTTGCATTCCAGCCAAAGTGATTCTCTTCAATGTTTAATTTTTTCTAATTTGATCTATGTGTTTGACCCTTAAAGGCTCCCGTACGGATTGGTGTCATCTTCAAACAATTGAGAAAGCTAATGGACACTTTGCTTGAAAAGAAGCTGGAGAACCCCAGGATGAATCTGGAAGGTAAACTAGAGCTTTCTAATACAAAGAAATAGCATTTACTTCAGAGTAGGCTGCATCAAATACAAAATAAAAAAATCAACATGTGTGTTAACATGGCTATAGTTGTGCTGCTAATCTAGACATAATCAGGTTGAGCAAAATAATAGAAGGACCTTCATTTGCTCTCTAAAGAGTACAAAGGTCCAGCTAAGCAGTGGTTAAAAATTAAATGATGGATTACTTCATATTTTGTGTGAAGATTCCTAAATCACACTTAATATAACAAGTCTGCAAATATAAATCACAGGAGAAAATAATTGAACCTATCTGTCTCCATCTGTTTTTTTTAGGCGAAAGGACCATCCAGCTGATCCTGGATCTGATCCAATCAGAGCACTCTGTGTGATATTGGACCACAAAAGAACCTGACTGCCACTGAAGAACCTGCAGACCAGTACTTCTTTTTTTCTCACACAATCCTCAGACCTCTGTGTCCCGTAGTCCTGGGGACAAAAGTGCTTCCTCTTCTCTTGCTCTGATTTTGCAGGATGGACATCCCCAGCAGACTAAGGTGAACCGATCGATATCAGGAACTCTTACTCACATTGAGGTGGACTGTATCATAATGTAATGCTAAAAGTGCACGCTGAAATCTGAACACATGAAGAGAAAACGATGCTGTCAAAGGTGATGGAAAAAAAGTGGTATACGTTTTATTAAAACATGTCATTGTGATGTGGTTATCATTCTCCTCATGGAAGTAATATATTCCATATCTAGAAATGTTGCGAAGTTTAATGTTTTTCACACATGCCGAAAACTACAGACTTTTTTTTAGGGTGAGCCACAGTGTGAAAGCAAATGGCCACATTTTTTTAACCCAACTTCATCTGGAATGTTTCCTACTCGCCTCTAGTAAAATTTCCACGCAAATTCACAGTAAATATTTCCTCCTGATGTGTGAACACGTCTGAAAATGTATCGTGAGTGAGCTTCAGTCTCTTTAATGCTGGACAGTATGCTCTTATGGACTCCTTCAATGATTCTGTGAATAAGTCCATATACACATAGCATTAAGAGGGCCCTTCTGACGCTATGATTGACATGTGCGAACAAACAACTCAGGAAGGTTTTAGGGGCAGGCTGTCATGAAATCTTAATAAATTTTCAGGAGTGCATGTATCTAAATAGCTTAAAGAGGACATATTATACCCCTTTTCCCCCATTTAAAACAGTCCCCTGTGGTCTAAAGGAAACACCTTGGTCAAAAAAATAACATGAATCAAGCACCAGAGGAATGTAAATGTAATGACCGAGTTTTCCCGGTAAAAAAAACTCCTTCACTAGTCAGAATAAAAATGGCAGACCTGCACAAAAGTTTTGCTCAAGGCTGGGGGTGGAGATACCTTTTACCGAAATCCCACTGTGATGTCACAAGTAGAACAAATTTGAAACGTAGCATTTTTCTCTGTGTTGCAAGACTTATGCAGACCACAAACAAAGCACTGGTTGGATTTATTTCACATTTTGTGGGTCGGTAGACACTCAGGTTACCCAAATATTTGTTCAAGAAATCTGTAGAAGTGGATTTTTCACAATATGTCCCCTTTAAGTTAACAGGGACCAGGTGTCTTAGTAAGAAATGTGATTTGAATGGAGGACATAGTATGCCCTCTTTAACTTCTCAAGCATCTGTAACTTCTAGCATATGCCAGATGAAGGAAAAGTCTCACATTGAAATGATCTTGTGTTTGACACTTGACCTGTTAGGAATTATCCAAGAAATAAGAGAAAGAGAAAATGGATAAACAGTCAATTTATTATTACAAAACCAACAGCAGCTCAGATGCACAGTGAAATGCTGTTTAATCCCTCTTCCCTTCTGCAGTTTCAAAATAAGTCACATTTTCAGAAATGTCTACACAATGATTGTGCTCTTAACCGATACAGCAAAATCAAAGTGCAAAGTTTAACAGCAGTTCTGAAGTCCTCCAAAAGCAACAACAACCTGTGAAATCATCAACAATAAGCAATTCAATGACTTCAAAGTCCACCTCGCACTAAACTTTCTCACAATAGAAAACAATGCTACATGGCAAGATGTACAAAATGTTGCAGGATGCATGTTCAAAGACAACAAACCGGACTTTAGCAAAAAAAAAGTGAGACAGTGTCAAGAATCTTCACGTCCAACCACAACTTTCCTGTTAGTGGACATGCTAACTCACATTAAAGAGGAAATGACAACTTGTATGCAGATGACACAACATTTTATGTTTAACATATGGATTCAAAGTATGAGTATGATTCAAAAAGAGTGTTGCTTCATAAAGCATACAGAAGTGAAGGTACATTCAGAAGTACGTATGTAGAAGAATAGGCCTCGCACAATATAAATACAGGTATGTGGGTTATAAATATCTAATAAATCTGGATATTAAAAATAACTTTTATATATATTCAGTACCTGATAGCACTGTTATTTGCTTCTCAGTTTTAGCCATTTTGTTTTCACAGAATGTCCTTTACATTGAAATACTGAGCTCTAGTCCTGAATTTTGATTTTAAAAATACACACAAGAACATAAACGCTATCTCTGCTTATAAAACTGTGCTATTGTTGATTTTGGGGGAAAAAAAACCCTGACCTCCCCTTAACAGATAAACTCACACAATAATGACACTCATTTCCATCTGGTATCTTTACAGGAAATCACAAAAGAGGAAGTGATGAGACTTGAGTGTCCTTTATGTCTATAACAAAGCTCCAGCACTGCACAGGGAGTACAATAAATCCACCAGCTGATCTGTGTGCGTGTTAGTACTCAATAAGACTGTACCCTGCGTCCTGCACCGTTGAGTAGACATTATTATCTGAAATCAAAGGAAACAATTGTTTTAATGGTTTAGTTTGAAAAGCAGAAGTGTGCAGCAGTGGTACAGTTAACAGTAAAACCACAAGCTCTAATACCCACACTGAATATACACTTTAAAAAACACACACACAAGTAAAAAACTAAAACATACCCCTACTGTTGTTTGTTGGATCAGGTAATGGCCCACGCCTGCAATTCGGAAAAAACCATTACAGCCAGTTAGAGCCAAAATATACCAAAGACGTGGCTGACATTCTGAACTGAGGGTGGATAAACAGGCAGGTGACAGCTTCTCCTAGAGCCCATCTCTTTTTTTACCTGATGATTGGTGGAGGGAGTCGAGGCGGAGGAGCTCCGATTGGGGCTCTCTGACCGCTGTAGAAATTCTCATACACAACTGGAGCTATTTGAGCGGAAGACAGATAGCGTTCAAGTTATGTTGCCTGTTTGTTTTGTGTGTGTTATAATGACCTTCCTCTGGTTAATTGTTAATTTTGTAAATGAGTATCCTACTTGGTGGTTTATCACCGGTCCGCCTGAGGTTCACAAAGTGTTCAATGTCTTCCTGGACATCACACTGCTCCAGCGACTTCCTCACTTCCTCATACAGCTATGTGCACACAAAGACCAAAAAAGATAGGGTAAAATCAAGGTCAGAGTTTAACATAGCCATATGTTTAAAGGTAAGCTATGAACATGTAACAATAGGTTGTTACAGCAAATGCATTAAAAAAAAACCTACTGAGAGAGGAAATGAGAACAACAAAGGGAAAAAAACTTAAGTAAACAGAAAACAATAAGCTGAAAGAAAGAAATAGTCCACATAGAGCTGCCTTTAGCTTTTGGTCAATCTATATCTAATCAATATCAGGAAAGAATGTGGAGTTGAAGCCAGTCTCTAGCCTTCTGACAAACCACAACAACACGCCCAGTCAACGGCCAAATTATGCAAATGTGTGCAAAACTCTAATCGTTATTATCATTAAAACAGATGAGTTATTAGAATATTACTTCCCCCTGTACAGTACAATAAGGAAATGAGCTAAGGAAACCACGACTTTTTTGTATCACGCTGTAAACCTCTTTATTACTGCTGTAAAAAGTGGGCACTTTGTTATCGGCTCGAATAGAGATTCCTTGGCTTTTTTGTAGCCTGCCTCAAGTGGTCACTCGAGGGATTGTTTTGCACTTCTACATTGGCTTCATTTTGCAACGCTGGAGGTTTCCAAATTTGGGGTTTTTCTTTAGAAGGGACCATTTTCACGTCCTTTGTTTATAGAATAATATTGATTATATCAGCTTTATATTACTGCAAATGCAGGCCTTACCTCATCACTGGACACACACTGCAGGGAAAGCTGGTTGAGGTGAGTCCAAACCGTGTTCCTAAGAAAGTTAATACGCTCCATTGCCTGTTTTTCAAACATCTGTAGAAGGGGGAAAAAAAGTAAATGTGTGTTGGTTTTGAACTTTTGGAGTGTCGAGTCTCTTAAAGTCTTACCTCACAGGCCTTGAGGTGTTCCTTCAACCAATCATCTCTGACCTTTCCCATTGTCTTCACATTCTGGTGGTATAACCTGTCTAACGGTCAAGATAGATCAGTTAGAAAGAGTCTTAATCGATCATAAATCACACTGTGGGCTAATAACCAGGCCAGTCTCATGTGCTTCATGGTGGTTGTACGAGCCCCATTCATATCAGCCTTGTTCACACCCATGTACGCATCTCGACTCTACTCGTGTACTGCTGTGTTTGAGCTCAAACTGAATGCAGTTGTGCTAACATGCTTCAAAGGATGCTTATGCTTATTCCTCTTAAGAAATGTCCCTTTAAACCACATGTGTGAACTTAATGATGGCACACAAGGTTTACATTACCAAAGAGATACTTAAGTCTCGCCAGAGGTGGACTGACTGACATGTGTTGAAGTGTTTTTAGACAAAACACAGAGACATAAATGACTCAATTTTCGCTCCTTGCATGGTGGTTCACAGCCATTGATGTAGACAATGGAAGCGTGAATGGAAGCAAAAAGCGTCCCTGTGACTTGGGCTGTTCACTCGGTCATAAAAATCTGTAAAAAATATCAATTATGAGTCACAAGGTCAGATTCAGCTCCCTTTTAGCTGCAGTGTGAACGCAGCCGTAGTCCAGTTTAAGGCCACGACTCAAAATAAAGGTTTTATTTTGAAAAATGTACCTGCTTCTTCTGCATTCTGTTTTGCTTGTTGTGCTTTTGAGTAGAGCTGAAAGATGATGAAAAAGAAGAGATTAGCACTACATGAAAAGATCAGATCAGTATTTTCCAATCTGGTTTCTCAGTGTATGTTTGCTTAAGACGATCAGGGGGAACACAATTTGAACACAGCCTTGTATTTGTCATGAGATACCGTAACGCGTATTGAAATCAACACTTTCGATGCAGTGTTCCTTTTTGGGGTAAAATATGTGGGGTTCAAATCTTCTGGAAGAAAGAGTCAACATCTTAAAATTGTTTAGTTGGACAAATGTCAGAAAGTAAGCAGTAAAATGTCTATAACAATTTTAATGATTCCCACATGATGTTTTTAAATAGCTTGTTTAAAAAAAAAAAAAAGGGGGGGGGGGCCCTGGTGGCATAGTGGTAAGAGTGCGCCCCCCCATGTATGGAGGCCATAGTCCTCCAAGCGGGCGGTCCAGGATCGAAACCCACCTGTGGCTCCTTTCCCGCATGTCATTCCCCACTCTCTCTCTCTCTCTCCCTGATTTCCTACTCTATCCACTGTCCTGTCTCTCCATTAAAGGCACAAAAAGCCCAAAAATAAATCTTAAAAATGGTGCAGTCACTATTTCACTTGATAAGAGATGTGTAAACAACTTTCCAAATAAGGGCATTGATCGTCTTGTTGACAGACTGACATTACACTTTAGGGGATGACTGACGAATTCGTACACAAGTATGGACAGGAATGAGCTCAAAGCATGACCTTTTAGCAGAACCAAAGGCAGTGATCCATGCTTTGTCCAAACTATAAATCGTGCTTCACTGTTTTTATGTTACCTTCTCTATGTGCTTTGTGTTGTTGGTGTTGGTGTTACGATTCACGTTCTGATCTGCTTCTTCTTTATCTCGGCACTTCTGCTCGTACGTCTTCTTTGTCTGGGGACAAACAAAGTCAGGATCAAATCAATCCACTTTAGACCCTTTGTACAGAGCATGACAAGCACTTCTTCTTTTAAAACACTAATGGTACTAAATGCTGCCCTGTGGTTCGCTTCCCAGACTGGTCAACTGAACTTCCCCCACCAAAGAGGAAGAACAGAGAAGGGATGAGCATTTTCACAGTTTTCACATCACAACTGAAACCCCTCTGACACGTCTCCCATCTCTGGTTTTCTGTTTTTAAAAACAACAAACACTGTGAGACCTTTGAATAGAAAAACAACATTAAGCATTTTGTCTTTAGTTTGTCAGGTAAATTACTCTTTACTTGTGCATGTGTCCAAAGTTTAACCAGCTCAGCTTCTCGAAAACATATTACAAGGAAGAGAAAAGAAAAATGTGCAAAGGAAAAGGAGTCCTTGAACTACAAATGATTCTAGTAAGAGTCCATGATGATTAATTCTGAACGTCAGACCTGATTTTATTTTGTACTCACATCCATTGTCTTCTTGAACTGAGAGGACTTCTGTTTGTGGAAAGCATCCATCTGCTGTTCAATCTGGAATCACATACATCGTATTTAGTCAGAAAGCAAACATTTGTTGCAACGAGGCTGCTTTTAAAATCAAAGCATCAAAGTGCTGCAGGATCAAACTGACAACCTTTTTCCTGGCTTCTTTCTGTTTTTCTCTGAAGTCTTCCAGTTTCTTGGCCTCGTCCCTCATGCTCTGTGCCAGCTGTAGGTGTGACAGACTCACGTGTTCAGTCTCTGCGAGGGTTAAAAATGTGTTTTATTGTCTGAGTTACACAGAAGAATAAACTGGAACACAAAGTTCAGTTCAATGACAGTAAACATATCAGGCACTTACGTAATTTGAACACATCCAGGGATCTTTTTAATGTGCTATGAAGAAAAAGAAGAGAAGATTACAAACTCTGCATTAGATGAGTATACCACTCAACTTGAAAAAATCCAGTAGACCTTTACATTTCCACGACACAACATACAGAGGATGTTAAAGTTCTTCTGTGGAGTTTCTGACCACTAAGGAGCGATGTTCTAAAGAGTGGCACGAGGCAGCAGTTATGTGCTGAGAAACACAGCAAAGTTCAAACATACAGTAAAGTATGAAAAAGTCTGCTGGCATGTAATCAAACATTTAAAAAAAAAAAATTGAAATCCAAATGTTTTAAATGCACATAACATTCTTGTTAGACTGAAAAACAGGTTTCCCATAATTCATGCTGTTGACTTCACGACTTCTTGAAACCTTCTTAATCCAACAAAAAAATTCACATATTTATGTTTGGCCTTTACATTTTTGGTAATTTCAAAATGATACTATACCTTTAATTTAATAATCACTTGTGAAGAAAAGTACCAAAGCTTTAAAAACAAAAACAAAAAAACACGACAGATCTTGAGGCATATTTTTAACTAAAAGTTGCCACGTGCAAATTAGGAAGAGCGCTCTCTAGATTACAGATATGCATAATTAAGACAATGTGCAGATGTCAGCCTGCATATTCTGGTGGTTAGAAAACAAGAAATGTAGTAACTCTGACTTTTTGTTGCCACAGTATCGAAACACGTATTGATATTGATGCATTTTACTGGAATCGTCTCAAAGTAAATGATGTTTCTAATGTCTATATGAAGTGAGTACTCTTTTGTTACCCTCCCCCATTAGTCTTCCTTCCTCTTCCCACATAATCAACACCACTAAACAGAAGCAGCAGCGCACATGCACTGAGTGTAACCACAGACAGAATTGGGAACTAGTCTTGCTGATATAGAAACACCATGTCTACACTGGTACATAAAACCTGACGGACTACAACACAAAGAAACTGCAGAACACAAAATAATGCAATCTTCATTTCTGCTTTCAAACTTGCACATTTTCCCTTGCTTGATGTCGAGACTGACTGACTCTTTTTTTTTGGGGGGGGGGAACTGTTAAGAGAGACAGGAAACGTTAGGAGGGGAGAGCGGCGGATGAAATGCAGAAAAGCCAGAGATTGGCTTCGTACCCATGGCTGCTGCTGCTGCGACAAGGACTTAAGCCCTTGGTTGAGGTCAGCAGCATGTCACTGCTGCAAAGACAGACTCTGTATAAAGATCTGTTCACAAAAAGAAATAACAACCACATCTCAGCGCAGAGGTCACTTACTTCATCTCATTGTGTCCACACACCTTCTTAGACAAACCCAGGAGATCTTTAGCGTACTTCTCTTCAATTGACGCCCTGGAGGAAACAAAAAGAGTCCATGACACACAGATCAAACAAAGGAAGCCTTTAGCTAAGACACCGCAGTTTCATTTACATGTTATCAGTGATGCTGATGATCTAGTTTACATGCACTAACACAGGGTTAGTCATCACTATCAGCCAGCGGACACTTTTAGAAACAGATGTCATAAACTCTCATACTAAATTCCATTTGATTTGTATAATGAAACAATGACAAATAACAGTCTGTTTTGTCATCTGTGTGTCATTACGGATGTCGATCTTGCTGGCTCTGCAAACAAATCTACCTACAGTATGGGTGCAAATTCAGTTAATAAAGAACCTGAACCAGAACCTGCAGCTGAAGCTGATGCAAACTTTGTCCTGATCACTGACAAATTCTGTACATTCATAAAAGAAAACATTCAATGTTTAATGTGTGTACAACTACATTCCTGAATATTTGAACAAATTATTGAATGTGTATAAACTGCTAACAGATTCTAAAATGAGGAAATTTAAAGAATATTCCCAAACAGATCACACAGGGGAGGAATTCTGATCCACTATGAGCACTTATCGGTTGTCAGAAAACAAAAAAGAAAAGCGCTATACGAGCTCTGGTCCATTTACCATTTATCTATTATCAATGAGATTACATTGTCAGTAAAAATCTAGACCCTATGTGTGTGGAACAAGACAAGACACGGGATCCATTCTAGTTCCACTGACCCCACTTTCTCTTACTGTAATAGTATTGTGTCTTCCGATTCAGGAAGTGAACAGGGCCATCAGATACTCAGCTGACACCGTGCAATTTAAAGAAAAACACGACAAGGGCTTTCTGTGTAACAGTACAAGTATCTGTGTGCTGTTTGGTGCATATTTATGAATGCATTTTTACATCACTGACCAAAAACAACATTGAGTAAATTCCTATATTCTTATTTTGATAGGAATAAATGCAATTTCAAGTCCAAAGCTCCCCTCCCCCCTCTGCCCATACAGCTACACTATACATTATATGAATTCAAAACATTTCCTTTATTTGCATTCTTGTCAAGTCAAACATAAATATTTGAATGGTCTTTATATTTGGGTTTTCTTGTTTTCTTTTTAACCACATGGTATTTCAAGCACGAGTCCAGACTGTAGATTTTGTGGCTGTTGTTGCGATATTTTGGAAACCTTTGTAAAAACTTCACATGCTAAAATGAGGATACTTTCAGTTACGTTATTGTGTAATATCCTCATGTGCTATATAATTATAGTTGTTCGTGTGCGTGTGTGCATGCGTCCGTGTGTGTGTGTGTGTGTGTGTGTGTGTGTGTGTATTTGTGTGTGTGGATGGCTATTACGCAGTGTTTCCCCAAAGTTTGTAATGTGCCAACAAACAGTCCTTGAAGTTGCTTGAATTTTAGTTCAACATAATACAAAACCCTTTTCTGACTCAGGGATTGTCTGACACAATTCCAGCCCAAGTTTAAAATTTTGAAAGGGTGGGTAAAAACTAACTTCAATCACTCACCAGAGAGGAAGAGAGAGAGAGAGAGAGAGAGAGAGAGAGAGAGTATACCAGGTCATTAGAGACACTTACCTCACACACGCAAAAAAGGATATGAAATATGAGCAAAGACCAAAACCATCCGTACCTGCAGTGTGAAGTAGATCAATGAGCAAAACACAGCAGCACGTTATGTGAGCTGTTGTAGCTGGAGAAAGCACAAAACCAGCCTGAACAATACTGTGTGACCAACTGTGTATCACTGCACCAGTCATCTGTTTCTGCACTACGTATCTCTGAATATAACTGAACAAACATAACAAAGAAGGAAACTAAAAGTCCTTTTTACACTCGTTTTACGAGAGATGTAACGATTGAGACAATCAGGGCCGATTCCAAGAACAATGTTTGTTTCATGACTTCTTTTTGAGTAAGACTCGCACACTGCTAACATGAAAACAAGTCAGAGTTTGACTTCCTCTGCCCAATAAAAAACCTGAGTCAGGAGTTACATGCACTAGAGTTACATGCCAGAATTAAGTTAATTTGGCACAACAAATAAACTTCAGCTACTGACATCAGTTCATGCATCATTATTTGCGGATGTCTGTCAACATAGATAATATATCGGCGCATCCCCACTTTTACTTCAATCTTTTTTTCTTAAGTTGTTTACAGTTATTTGTATATATTAAATCATATTACATCATTAGCAAAGTTACATTTTCAATTTGTATTGTTAATCAAAACACCAACTGCTTATATGACTAAATGCTTTTGTAATACTGCAACAGTGCACAGCTCTGTTTTTTTTTATATTTAACTTCATGTTATTATTTTATCATACTTCATTTTGTGTTTTATTTGCACACTTGCTTTGGCAATTTATGTTTCCCATGCAAGAGACGGAGAAAGAGAGAGAAAGTGAGAGAGGTAGAGTTAGAGAGAGAGCGATAGAGAGAGGGAGAGAGAACAAGTGAGAGAGGGGGGGAGAGAAAGGAGGCCAGATAACGATTCTCATGAGGAAGGAGGAAATCAAAACATTTGTATGACTCTATTATAGAACAGATCAAAATCAGGCTGCTACAGTACTGTAATATAGTCAACTTTCCCAAATAAATTAATTGCTGTAATTCTTCTATCATGCAACAATAGTGTGCAGGAATAAATGCTGGTCTTCTAGTAGATTGCATTATAAAGGTAGAAAAACTCTTCTGATCAGAATATCAAACTACAATTCAAATTCAAATGCGTCACAACCACAGCTGCCAGAATAATCGGTCTCCCCACACCCAACCTAACAGAACTCAATAACATTGCCCATCACACGCATTGCAACCTCAATAGAACAGGACATTCAGGACACTGAACACTCACCTCGCCCCACTTCCCTCAGGACGGAGGTATAGAGCACTGAGGTGCAGAAAGGCTCGCCTCGGGAGGAGCCTGATCCCCGCTGTAATAACGGCCCCGAACAAAAGGCCTCGCTGAACCAGGCCAGAAATGGGAACTCTTGACTGTTGTCTAACTCTGTTTGTTTGTGTTATTCTCTGTTTTTGTTTTTTTTGTGTGTGTATAAATGTTCTTTGGTGGGATCTGTCTGTTGGACAGTAACGGTGCTGTAAAAAAGAATTTCCCCTCGGGGACAATAAAGTCGAAAGTCGAAAGTCGAAATTATAAACAAATTATACGATACTTCTGCCTTTAAAGTTAATGAGAATGTTTCCTGGCTTTTAGTGCTGTCATTACATGTTTAGATATAACAGATTTTAAAACACCAGAACGGTGACCAGCTGTTGATCATTTCTTTGTACTTTATGTTCTGTAATGAGATGCTAAAACCCCTCAACCCTAACCTGGCCCTTCAACTATGTGCTGCTTCATGTGATATTGCTGAACAACTCCTCCTCACATAGAAATGTTTAACCTTCTCGCATCGCTTTCATTAATTGCTCCATGTTAATTTCACTATGGAGGTATAATATCTCTTTCACTAATACATCGTGCAACTTTCTACTATAATGACTCTACAAAGTCTATATTTCATGTTCCTCCTTTTTTTTAAACTTTTCTTCTTCTGTTCTTATCTGACTTTTGTTCACTTTCCGGTACTTTGTCAACCACTGAAAATATAAGTAACTGTTTTCTAAATACTGCTGCATCAATAAAGTTCACTGTGATTGTGGTCAAAACCAAGAAGCCACAAGAGCCTACAAACTGAACTTTATCACCCTGTTCGTATCACTAGACGTAACCTTTATGATGCCTTTGAGTATTGCTGCCTAGTTAACGCATGATAAGAACTACCACAAATTCAGAGCCCATGTACAGTCTTGATGACCTGGAACAGATCAGAACTTACACAGGAATATCTTCAAATTCAAATAAACTTTATAAAACCCACTAAGGGCCGTTGGTCCTGGTTACATCCTCGCATAGAACATGGCATTACCTCGCTTTCATGAACTCCTCCACCTCCTTGCACGTCCTCTTGCCATCATTGAGATACTGAATGATCGCATCATAGCCACCGGTGCTGGTCAAGTCAGAGTTCTGTTCAGTAAGATGGAAAATATTTCATTCTGATTATCCTCGATGGATTCAAAATGTGGTACATTTAGAGATACTCCCTGGCAATATAGAGGTATTCAATGATACAAATGTCTGGAGTGGATTCACACTTAAACTGATCAAAATCTGCTCTACACTCAGACATAATCATATGCTTTAACATTAAGATAACACACAGTGTAAATTGATGTTTTGCTCATAACTTCTCCACAATTAAGGTAAGCTGAGGAGAGCGACATCATATAATCAACATACAGTAACCATGGAGATGTTCAAATCAGTAGATAACTGACTTTATATCTCTTTAAAGTGATAATAAAGCAAGGTTATTGTGCTGTTAAATACATTAGATTTGACTCTATAGGGAATTCATTTTAATATAAAGGTAGTTGTGTTATGATAGGGTTTTTGTTATTTTAAGTATTGAACTACTGGATTTGGCTTTCTACGACTTTAGTGAGTATCCCATTATATATGCTACTTTACAATACACCACTTAAAACTTACTTTTTACTTTACTTTTTAAGTAACTTTATAGTTTGTAGACTACTTCTGATTCAATACCAAAAACGTATGATGAGTTGATAATGACTAAGAACATAAAATGCAACTTTTACATCTCTGCACAAGTTATTCAACTGACAACAAAATATAGTAAGTAGCCTATTCACCTGTTTTACTTTGAATACTTGAGGTTTATTTTACTTACGTCTTGTCATAGGTGTGATATTCTAGACATAATGTAACCGAGGGTCATTTAACGCGCCTATACTTCAATATAAAATGTGATATTAACACTTTTAATAGTTTTGAAACCCACAAAGAGAGATGGAGCATTAAAAGAAAAAAGAAAGACAAACTAAAGTGAAATGGAGCGATACAGAATAACCTTCCTGCAAATACAAATATTAACTTTCTTTTTCTTTTCTTTTTTTAAATCTAACAACACAGCAGTAGACACTTACCCAGAAGAAATCCTGAAAATGTAGGTTTTTCATAGCTGTAGTAACAGACTGAGACACCGCAGTGTGGCACAGGTCTGGAAGCTGACTGACAGTGACTGTTCAACTCTGCTTGATAAAGAGGACTGTGCACATGGGAGTTAACGTCAACAGTTCTCACGCTCAGTTTGATCGTGCTGCCCCCTAGTGGTCAATGAGTGTATTCACACGGTTAATTGTGGAAGCGATTAGTGATCAAAATTCAAATGATAAAGCTAATTTGAAAATTAAAATGCATTTACAGAAATGCTTTTTAATTTTCAGAATATGAGTGTATTATTTGACTCAAAAATAAAATGATGATTAATTTATCTAATTTGAACTTTAGTTTTCAACTTCAAAAATGCACATTCTTTGACTAAGTTAAAATGAAGAAAAAAATTACATTCGCTTTATCATTTTCAAAAAATGCCCTGCTAAATTTGTATCATAATTCAAATGAAAAAGCTAATTTAAAAATGAAAATACATTAAAAGAAACACGTTTTAATTTTCAGATTATAGGTGCATTATTTGACCTATATTTAAAATGAATATTCAGTCATCCAGTTTGCATTATAGTTTTACTCTCTATGTATGCATATTGTATGACATAATTCAAATGAAAACGAAAACGAAATGGCAAAGTGGACTTCCATAGTTAATAGCATCAGTCAGGTATAAAGTTAAACTTGTTGGGACACAGACAGAAATCATCAATATTGATGTCTCTTCTGAGCCAGCGAAGCAAACAGGACCGTCAAGAAGATGACTGATTGACAAGGTGATCAGCACGCTGCCGACAGTTCTGTTTACTTTTTCACATAAAAAATATACAATGCACTCACTGTGATTTCTTTTTATGTGAAAAAGTGAACAAAGGCTGTCACTAGCGTCCTGAAGAGGTAAGTCTGCCGCTTTGTCTACAGGGGGCGCCAAGATCATCACAAAACAAAAGTTCCTCACAAAAGCTGATTTATAGGCTGATAGTGGTGAAAAATTATGACCTCAACTTATCTTGTAAAAGTCAGTTTGTTAGTGAGGTTATTATTATTCTTAGTTAAGGAAGAGGTGTTCAGATTATTAACTGATGAGAAGCAGTAAGTCTACTAATATCACATAAAACAATGTACTCAAATCCATGCCCTGTATTTAAAAAATGTCCTTATGAATCTAGGCCTGTTTAACTGCACAAAAATGTATCATGTTATTAAAAGACCTACGTACGTGAATAGGCTACACACATATATGTATATATATATAAAGTTAATATAAATGCTTTGAATCATAGAACTGGCTATTCAGGTATAATCATAAACACTACATGATAGAGAAAAATGAAAAATAATGCATTATTTTAACAAGGAAGCAGAATGTATCCATACTGATATAGCCTAGATACTGTTTTACAACCACCCTTAATAATCTGTCTATTTGTTAAGTAGGACAGTTTCAGTTTCACGGTTTTGAAATCTTGCAGTTATAGATGACTAACAGAAAAAATGTCAGAAGCATCACTTCATTTTACACACGTAATTTCAGTGACTTGACCTCATACAGTATGTCAAAATATTTATGAAGGGAAGTGGGAAGAGTTGAGTGGCAGGTTTGGGCAGTCAGGTGACTGGAAATTATGGTTCATCGCAGGTCAGGTGAAGTAACAAGGTCTGAAATGACAGGAGAAAATAAACAATCACAATAAGGAAAATGACCAAAAAAAAGAGGAAATAAGGCTAATGTTTAAACTGAATCCCAGTATTTGTGGCAGGGTAGGAAAGCTGTATGATTAGGAATAAAGTGGGAAAATAATCTAATACTAAGAAATTCCCATCACATGTGCAAAATAAATTAAATGAAAAATGTATTCCAACCATAACACCTTAAGACACACATGCATTCAGTCCACACCTCATGGCCCTATATCGCTATGAGCCGGTGTTTAAGACATTATCTGTAAAAGGTCGATTTTTCACTTTTTTTTAGGGAGAATGGGGGACTAGAGTTCAGAATTACTGAATTATTTTTCCAAGAAAAAGGACAATACTGCAGTCAACTTGCATCAGAATTTTCATCTTTATTATAGACAACTTTTTGTAATGACATTAGTTCATTTATTGTCTGCAGCGGCTCATTGGTGGCCTCGATCTTGAGGTTAACAGTGTCACTGAAAACGTGTTCACAGTTTTCTCAAAATTTGTTATTTGTGTTTAAACACTTGCGTAAAGAAACCTTGTGACCTTCTCTGAAATGATTTAAACTTACTTCAGAGGATTGTTTAAGACAAACAGACAAACCGGTGAAACCAACCCGTCTAACCTGTGTAAGTGTTAGAGATCATCAGAGTAAATGTTTAATAATTACTTTGTTCTTTCCCCCGAAAGGCATGGGAACCTTTTTTGACCTCCTCCACTTCCAAACATCGGAAAAAGGCATGAGGTCATATCCTCAGGCATCTTATGTAAGATAATTCCACAACATCAAAACAACAACAACAATAACACACCGTATGTTGACGTGCAGGTAAAGCACATGACTAAACTGTGCAGGTATACTGTAGCTCTGATAAGCCTGTTCAGAGTACACGAGCAGTGAAAACACCCTCTGCCTCTCTGTCTCTCTTCATAATACTTCAGCATGTGGCAATAAAAGTCAAGCACAGAGGGCTCACTGATTTATAACATCTGTTATCAGCGAAGAGGCCCGAGCTCTCTGCATCCTCGTGACCTTTTTTTTTGCAATTTAGATGGACTAGATTTTTCTTGAAATTTTAAGTTTGAGGTGATTGAATTCAATTCTTCCAGTGTACACCACTTTCCACTTTAAGATGGTATTTAAAGCATCAGTTAAAGCTATATGTCTCCCTTTGTAAGATTGATTTGATAATTGTATACAAACATAACATCAATAATAACATCTTAGGCTGTGAGTTGAGGCCTGTTACAACATTTCACAAGTCTGTTTGTTGTTAGAAGTTTCACCAAAGAGCTATTCCCCCCTCTCAGTGTTGCACATGGTTTCTTTTAAGACTGTTGGAGGCTGACGCACATTCAAACCCTGGCTGACGTACTAATATAAAACTTTTTTTTCTTCCAGTATTAAAACACTTACGGTATTTAACAGCTAATTGGGAGCAGCACAAGACTCTAAGACAAATTCCCCCATGACAAAAAAGTGTAAATATTGTATCATATTGATTTTGATTTGAATTTTGATTCCGAACATGTAACATAAGACAAATGTGAACATTAAAAAATAATAATTACAAACAGTGGAAAGTATAATGCAGTAAAAATTGTCTGACACTTTCTGAACAAAAATGAAATTAAAGTAAATCCCACCCCCTCTCCATCTATAAAGCTAGCTTCCTATTTTTAATATGATTGTAAATGTATAATATAATATAATATGAAAAATTAAGTATTGTATTGTTATGTCATATTGTACGGTAACATATCATATTGTGTTGTGACGTATCGTATCGTATCGCATCGCATCGCATCGCATCGCATCGCATCGTATCGTATCATATCGTGTGATCTTATTGCATTGTGTCATATTGTATGGTATCATATCGTATTGTGTTGTGACGTATCTTATCCTATCGTGTCATCTTATCGTACCGTACCGTACCGTACCGTACCGTATCGTATCTTATCGTATCTCATCGTATCTTATCGTATCATGTTTTATTGTATCGTATTGATAAGTAATAATTACAAACAGTGAAAATTGTAATGCAGAAGAAATGGTCAGACACTTAAATATTTAAGTGACATGTCCGAAAAGGAGTGGCAAGGAGTAAATACAAAAAATAAGTATCGTATTGTATATAATTTCCTGTTGCGTCGTATCGTATCTTATCGTATTGTATGATTTCTTGTTGCATTGTATCGTATTGTATATAATATTGTATCATATGGTATCGTATCATATCACGTGACATCTGTCCTCTTTTCCTTTTGAATTGTTACATTATAGTGGCGTTAAAGCAACAGATAGTTATACTGAATCAATGTAATAATAAGGATAAGGAAAATAACTTAAAATGTTTTGTTATTGTCCTACAAACTTTTGTTATATTTGATGTAATTGGCCAGTGTGAAAAAGTCTCTTTACAAAGAAGATGAATACATTTAATAGTCCTTCATGTAAACATGTGCTATATTTAACAGCTGAACAGCTCCTCATGTAAGTATTATGATAAGTTCTTTACCTCGTCATCTTGCATACTTTATGTGTGTCCTATATATATATTAAATCTGTTTCTATTATTGTTGTAAAGATACAATAATCAAATTACCAATTTAAAGAGGAAAGCAAAGGTTGGATAAAAATTCAGCCTCGTTAATCTTATCAGGTCTTCTTCTGATTGGACCGTTAAGGTCTGGAGCTACAGGTTGGGCATCACTTTTCTTAAAATGTTAGCCATTTATAAAAAATATTATAAAGTAGCTAAAAGTGCACTGGATAAGCATTAATGAACAAATATTGTAATACAATTAAGAACACAGATTTTTCAGAATAACTAGTTCAACCTTTGATGCTTTTGGCACATTTCAGTTACACTTTATTTATTTATTTTAAATTGAATATTTTACATACATGTATTGGCTTATTGGTACTTGTAAAGAGTCTGAATTTCCCTTCAGTTATTTTAGGTCATGCTTATGTTTTGGTTCCCCAAATGTCATATAGTTCCTGTATTCAATTTCCTGTAATCCCCCTATCTTTTTGAAAAGTGTGTCACTGACTCCAATGCACGATGATTCAGTTTTCTTACATAAAACAAACATATGTTACTCTATTCCAGCCAGTGTCTCTCAGATCACCTGACTGCAGACGCTGTTATTTCCCCGGAACTTCCTTGTTTCTGCAGATGGAGAGAGATAGCTGCAGGCAAGCTGAGACATGTTTATGATGCACATGCTGAGCAGAATATTCAGACCTCGGCCCTTTCCTGGCAAACTTTGCTAAATTTCAGTCTATCAGTTTTCAGTTTCTGTTGGTTAAGGTCACAGCCCTGCTGTTTGTGACGTAGTTAGACGCAGTGTTGCTTTATGAAATGCCTCTCTGATGACAAAATGAACTCAGTCTACAAATGTTGTTTTTAATGTTGTCCAGACATCACGTGATATAACTTCTGATCACATGCCATGCTGGTTATTTAGCAGTTTAAGTCTTTATATAATCTATAAAATGACGTTAGTGTTACATGGCCTACATTCAGCAAACAACCCCAATGTCCGATTATCTTATCACCATCACCACCCGTTAGGACACAAAATCAGCTACCGATGCTCCTGTGAACTGTTGTTGTCCGTTCTTACGCTGACAAAAACAGTAAAACTTTATGGGATTATATAAGTGTGAGGTTAAAACTATCTTCTCTCTTAATCAGTGTGATCTGTCATGCTTAAATCTTGCTTCACATGACACACTGTAGGAGGTTTGTTTTTAACTTCCTGCCATGGTAGTTGTGACCTAATTCACAAACCTATATATTTCACTTGAAGAGAATCTGATATTATCAAATAAACCTGAAAATGACAATCCAAATATGTTTTAATATAGTACATTCATTCTAATAGATTCCTAAAATGTGGGGCGCAGGCAGCCTAGTGGTTAATGCGTGTGCCCCATGTAAAGAGGCCGTAGTCCTCTGAGCAGACGGCCGGGTTTAAAATCTGCCCTGTGGCTCCTTTCCTGCCTGAAAATGCAACACTGTTCAAGGTTTTAAATAAAGAAAATAAAAATTATTTAATTTAAGTACAATTTTGATCCAGTTTTGAAATTGTTATTGTATTTTTTCAAGGCCATACACGCTCTTAGGTTTCCAGGATACAGAAACACATGGCATACATGTATCATGGAGGCATGCTCCGGTGCATAAATCCAGTGAACATCTACGAATAAAGCAGCAGATACAACAGAAAGAGGGAAAAAAAAATGTGTCAGGTATTAAAGCAATGACGTAAAAAATGCTTGTCACAGCAAAGACAAATCATGTCATACACATCTATCAATGATGCTCCAGGACGTCAGGATCCAATCAGAGAGCACCTTAGACTTAATCGTCCACCTTCAAATAATCCCAAATCATGTCCCAGGGAGATCCCCCCCCCCACACACACACACACACACACACACACACATACACACCCAACTGTCACTTAATCTACTCAGCATATACATGTTTAAAAAGCGGTTTCAGTCATCACACAGATCCTTTTGCTTTCTTTTTCTTCTTTAAAGAATCCTGGACTGAGAGGAATTACTGAGTCAGACCAGCTGCTTGAAATGTGAATTACCTGAGTCGAGAGAGGTCTGACCAAACAACAGTTGCATCGAAGGAAAGTTCTTGTGACAATTTCCAGCACAAGTTGTCATCAGACAGTTTAGAGTTTGGATGATGTGGTGATAGTATCCATTCAGTTTCTTATATTGTGTGAGCTTTTAGCATTTTCGACCAAATTACCTGTTTTTATATTTTCATGTATTGTTTGATATTTGAGGCTCCATACATCTAAAATGTAATGTCTTTATATGACCCCTTTTACTGTCCTTAAACCGCTCATGAGTGTCCTTAAACACGTATATGTTTCATTAAAGTGCAAACACAAACCCTTTGGCACAAACAGCACAGTAATCCTACCTGTTGTGTTCTACGAATTGTAAAATACGTAGGTTCACGTTTTACATAATGCAGCTGATTAAAAGAGTCAGAAAACAATTCTGTGAACACAGACGTCTACCTCGGTGTGGGAGGAACTTGGCTATAGCCTTCGGGGATTCCTCAGCCACAAAGTTACGTCACACACAGTATTTAAGCACCGGCACTGCTATCAATAGGTCAAACCTGTTGCCTCTTGTCAAACAACAACCAGAGAGCTTTCACAGCGCCGAGGGGAAGAAAAACTGAACTTTTAAATGTTTTCTTTGCTTTTGAGGAGCATTGTTGTCACAGAAATGGCTAGCCATGGTGAGTAAGCAAGAGATTTTATTTAACCTGGCATGTTTTTATTTAATCTTCATAAAGGCATACTTGTGTGATGTCATTGATACTCAAATTGTCTCTCTTTTGCCCTCAGATTATCCTGAAACTCTGGATGCCTGCGCACATCAGCTGCGTCAAATTGGAGACCTACTAGACTGGAAATACAAGCTGCTGGAGATTCTCATCAAGAACTACAAGACTGTCACAAAAATCTAACAGGACGTGGCAGCATTTCAAGAGGAATTTTGACTAACTGAATGGCAATGAGAGCCAGAGCGGAAGAGTCTCAGGTATTGACTCATTAGAGGCAAAATGGCTGCACTCAAGGTGGATGTAAGCAGGCGGAAACCCCCGGATGGACATGTTTGATGTGAACTGTCTGTGGACTGCTTTATTATTCCAGACTAGAGCTCTGCAGTGGAAGCCAGATGTGTGGGATGTTTTTGATCCACCAATTGGGACCTATTGGAGACAAAAGTGGAACATCTGAATGGAAGTCATGCTAGGAGATGCTGATGCTCTATACACACTAATGTATATATGTACGGACATTTATGAATGTTATTCTCTGTTAATTAACGTATGTCAACTGAAGAACTGAAGACTGAAGAATTAAGACTCTTTCTTTATTGTGATAACACTTTCTTTCTATCTTTGGAAGAATTTCATGAGTGGTTAATAAATAATTGCAATTCGATCAATCCAGTATCTGGTCTGATAATCTGTTTCATAATTGACAAAGTAGAAAATGGATTAAAGTAAGACTGACTCCAACAATTGTCATCAAAGTTAGGTCATAAATTTAGCATGTTTGGAAATATGCTCAAAGATTTAACAGCTAAATCAGAGGATAGTGTCAACCCTGTTGGCTGAATGTTCAAATGGCTTAGCTAAGCATGAAGCTCAATACAGAGAGGCAAATTAATTCATTTTTACACTTCTGTACAGATAAACAACTGGTGATAGGATCATTGGGCTAAGAGTTTAACAGTGAAAGCATTTGGTTAGCATAGCTTAGCATAAAGGCTTGAAACAGGGACACAGAAAGTCACTTTACACCTCTACAGAGATTAAACAACTGGTTATAAGAGTTTTGTTAAAGCTCCATTTTCCTTTGGACAGAGCCCTGTTTTAGTCTTTGTGCTAGGCTAAGCTAACTAGCTGCCCACTCTATCTGCATGTTTACTTGAACCTGAACTTCAACTTTGCAGTCCCTCAAGGAGAAATTTGTCTCACCGCCAGGTTAATACATAAAACACAGAAAGACAAAGGAGACAAGAAGACATTCAATCTGGTGCAAAAAAAATACATATTAAATAACAAGTGAGAGTGGAAAACCTTCGCTAAAATTAAACCTATATCATCAAGGAATTAAAATGATAACTGATCACGAGCTGGATCAACGACCATCAAAAGATCCATGAGATTTGAACAGTTTGTTGGCTGTTGTTCTCATCTCAGACCTCTCACCTCTGCTGGTCTAAATGTCCAGTCTTAAATTCTTAAGACTAAGACTAAGACTAAGAATGAGAGAACAATATTAGTGTGCAGACATGGAGTTGAGCCAAATTCAGGAGGAAAACCGTCAAACAAACGAATAAGCAAATGTTTCCATCAACTATTTCTTGCCTCTCATGGCAAAACCAATAATATAACTGATCATTTCACGTGTGTGTTTTAAAAGAAAGTTCAAATGAAGGGAAAGAAAGGCTGAGCTGTTGTGAGCAAAGATGAATTATTTAATCAATCTTAGAGCTCCTGCATTATGGATGGTAAATTAAAATGATGTTGTCTTCCTCTGCACTGTTGCAAATAACCTAGAGTATCATTCAAGGCTTCTTTCTTGTCACAGCAATGTTTAAAATGAATTCAGGACAAATGATCCGAGAGCTTCTTTGCTGTTTACCCTGAGATATTTTCCTTCACTTTCAGCCAACACATACAAATGCCGATATATATTCTGACATTTAATAACTGCAATAGGTTGAAGTCAGCCATTAAACTATCAATACTGATTCCCATCAAACGTCCCTACTTAATTCCCAAAATTCAAATTATTATTTTTATTGGTTGCCTATCTTTCCGACTAATCCTTTCGCAAGCGCAGCCTTCATAACTCTCAGACCCCAGAGTCAATGTCCTCGCATTTTTTTGTTAATCATGACTAAAAGATAAACCTTTTCAGTTTACAGTGTAATAATAATAATTACTAATAATATTTTTGATAAAAGCAAATCCTTTGACTTCAGAAACTGGAAATGTGAAATGTTTTTTGAGTTTCAAGTGAATTGATGCACCTGGCAGTCATTCCAGTTTAAGATCAATCAGATATAAAGACAGGGGACTACGCACGAGGGGTTTTTATGATATTATATGGCGTATGGGATTATTTAATAAATTCACTAGAAGAAAACCATATACGAGACAGATGCAGTACGTTCTGAATGATATACTGAATAAAAACAGGAGCAAAGCAGTGCTAAATTCAGGCACTTAAAGGATCCTTACTTTATTTTGTGTGGTAATACAAAAGCATACATAATTATAGAGGATAGAGAAGATCCCTTTCTTTAAATTCCTTTAGATCGTACACATAAAATGACTAATAATTACATACAAGCCTTTTCTCTGTAGCTACATCCACAAGTACCCGGCCCTCCACCAATAGCATGCATGGTTTCTCTGCTGTAAACATCTCAACACTTCTTCATTCCCATTGGTATTTTGTAGGCAGAAAAGAGAGACAGAACTATACGTATGCCGTGAAACCATAGATAATGTAACTGCATACAAAGATCACACTCATCAGACCAGAAAGACAATAACAATCCTGCTTTTATATCCAACAGATTGCATGTTGTAGAACAGTTTCAGTCTTTATCAGAGGATTCATCCGGGGCACAAGTAACCCCTCTGATAGTCTGCATGGATGAAACAATAAAACATGTGAGATTGGGATAACATCTTGTTTTGACATGACATACAAACAGGGACAAATATTGCAAAAGGTAAACTTAAGGCGTTAATTCACCCACATTTCACAAAATATTGTCTCCCCTAGTGATTCATTCGGCTTTCATAGGGGTGATAACTTCAACAAAAAAGTAGTTCCAAATAAAAACATTGAAAGGAAACCGTTTGGGTTAATCACAGGAACTCCATGGAGAGCTGATGAGCCTCTAAAAAATTAAATACATCTCTCTGACACTTCTCAAAAACTAAATTAAACCAAAACCACCTGCATGGCTACTTAAAATACAACTAGTATTAAGTAGGGAACTGTACTTTTTTTAAATTTGGGTTACTAGACACTTTTCTGAACTCAAACTAGCCCTTGTGGCTAACATTTCTCAGCTCATCATAAGAAGAACCATCTTAACAGCTGCTGCTTTTCCTGCATCTTTACATAAGAACTCAACCATAAAAATATGAGTAGAAGCTTTTTTTTTTTAAATATATATCCAGAGGAATGATTTCAAGATACCATAAAGCTCAATAGCTGTAGACAAAATAAGTGAGATCTTTTTTTAACCATGTTTGCTAACTATGATCTACGACCTATCTACAGGGCTACTGACTGTGCAAAATAGTTGATAAATGGCATCTACTCCAAGCATCGATAAGCAACATAAATACAAATGGAAGACTGGTCTCAGTCCATAAATAGCAGAATGGACCCTTTGCAAAAAAAAAAAAAAAAAAAAAAAGGTTAGACTAAAGGTTTAAGTCTTCATCTGGGAAAGAGATAGAAAGGCCCAAATTACCCAGCAAACAAAGTTGTGCAAGTTTGCGTTCTCTCTTTCCTCCTCAAAATGAGGGAAAAAGGAGAAGGCAGACTGAATCTAGACACATCAGGTAATCTATTCTTACAGTAACACCATGTTTGTAGTCCCAATACATGTGGGAATGAAAAGGAGAAAGCAGAGTACAAAGAGCATTGTTAGCCGTGTGATTTGCTATGGTGTAACCTTGCATAAGCGCGAGGGGACAGTATGGAGACCAGCACGGGATTCTGGCCTGTTCTTGTAGTGATGGAGAGAGGTTTCCTTATTGTTGAAGGGAAACTTGGCCCCAGTCAGAAATCTTCATATCCACGACTGCTGCTGCTGCAACCAGCTTTGTTCTTTGAAGTTGTGCACATGAACAGAAGACCATCTGTTTGTAACATCGATGTTTACATGTATATCGATGCCAGCGGCCGGTTTTTCCCCTTAGGATAGAAGTCAAGTCTTTTATTTATTTTTTTTAATTAAGAGATCGCTCCAACCAGCCAAATGTTACTTGGTGAAGCCCACCACCGATCAGATTCCACTGCGTTAATATGGACTACCACCAAAATAAGTCATCAAGATAGATGTACAAACAGGCTCCCCATCCAAAAATAGATTGTCTCATTAGAGTGAAGTCTGTCTCATTAACTGAAGTCCTTCAACCGATTAAATAACACAGACCATAGCCAGATCTTTCAGTCCAACAAATCAGATGTTTTCATTTAGTAAACGCCGCCACCACGGCCCACATGAGTTCGTTAGCGTTGGGCTTGGCGCTCTCCTTCTCGGGCTCCAGCTCCAGTAGAGTGTGGACTCTCTTCATACCCAGGTCGTACTGTTCGTCTTGGAGGGGGGCAAAGGCGTTCTCGAGGACGTCGGATGAGTGAGCCAGAAGGATCAGGGCCAGAATGCGCTTGTCCATGCGGTTGGGATCGTTGACCCACTTCTCCAAGACGGAGTCCTGGACTTTCTTGACGAGGCGCTGTGGAAAATTCACATCAACAATCGTGTTTTGTATACATGGAATATATCAAATGCACCGATCTAAGTGAAAGAAGTAGAATAAAAACAACACGTGTCAGCAGATAATTAGCGTAGTTTAGCATTAAAAAAAAGATAGCGTAGCTCCATTCAAAAGGTAAAACATCTTCCAACCAGCTGCCCTAATACTCACTTAAATGCTATATATCTTGTTGTAGCTAATGCTAACCTGTCGTTATGCTGACATAAGAGGGTTATCTCCTTCGTTGAAGCTTTATGTTAAAACAAAGGATAAACAACACCAAAGCTAAAATAATTTGATAAAATATTTTTTAAATTAGTATTAATAAGTATTGTTGTGCTCAAAAATCACTATTTTTTTCTGATCCATTAAGCAGTACCACTTAGGCCATTAATTTGAATGACATCTATTTCTCCCTTTTGCACTTAAACTAATGTGAAGGCAAATGTATAGCTTGGTTATCAGCTCATATGTCCATATTCTTTATATTATCTGTAAACTAGTATAGCATGCTCACTGCATCTTAATCTGTATATTATAATCCTAAGAATACACTTATATTTATAGCATTTATTTATATTTATAGCATCCCATTAATCCAGCCATCCATATATACCAAATAATTCACTTTTTTTAGTCTACATCTGTAATTTTGTAATTACTGTACATAGCACAGACTCTTGCACTTTCTGCTTATTTGCACTTCTGGTGAGATGCCAAACCTCATTTCGTTACTCTATACTTGTATATGTGTAATGACAATAAAGTTGAATCTCATCTCATCTCATATCCTCTTTCTGTGGCAGTTGGAGGGTGTGTCTGTGTTTGACTGTGGTATTTACATATAATTGAATAAGATAATCAATGTTCTAAAGCTAGCTAGCTCTTTTACATGAACACTAAATGTTTACACCACTGAATGTTTGTTAGGGGGTTCATTCAACTAACTGAGATGCAAAATAATAAAAGATGTTATGACCTTTTCTTATCATTGGCTGTATGATAAGCTCTCAGCTACATGAATAAAACAATAACTCTCTGGCAGGGCAATGCTTCCATTGTGAAAGTAAAAAACTATTAAACATACATTTCTCATATATATATATATATTAGCTGTAGCAGACTACACATGTCCTTTCATTTCAGTTGGACTATATCAGAATTCAATGTAGCTGTTACTGTGCATGTCCAGGTCAAAATCACAGACAGGTAAAGCTGAGGCTGTGACCCTCATGTTTGCAGACTTTGGATAATGTATTAGTAATTTTTTAGGTACACTAGGCTGAGACGGTTTTATACTCTTACTTATAAAGCTGAAAATGCCCACTCCTTACCTGTTTAATGGTACTGTTGGTGAGCGGATGTGTTGTCATGTCGAAGAGCAGGAAGTTCTGTTTCTCCGTGGTGAGGACACCTTTCTCTACCAGATTTTTCGCCAGACGTTCTCTTACATTTCTCAGCTGGTAATGTAGCTTGAGGGGATTCCAGGTCTCTCCTGAAGGCAAACATGAGATCCTTTTTAGGCCATCAAGTACACACTGAAACACAGTCTTAATCATTTTAATTAATATCTAATCAAAACTGGTTCGCTGCTTACATCCATACAATATGACAATAGCATGGAAATGTGAGCAGATGAAGTTGTTATCAGATGTTGAACAAAAGGAGTGTGTCACTTACAAGTCCAACAGGTCAAACATGGCTAAGTAGGCAAACTCTGAAAAGCTAATCTCACCACTCAGCAGCTCTATCCAGCTCTGCACAGTCTCTGGAGGCTGGGTTTCTTTCACATGCTTCAAGGCCTCATCCAGTAGCACATCTCCTGTCGGGGCATCCGACTTGCAGATCACCTTGACAAACACCAAAAAAGGGACATATTTGAACAATAGAGTGTGTGTGGCTTACACTTAATTCGCATCCTGTTTATACAGGACTTACTACACATGCTAAAGCAAAAAGCTAAGTGAAGGGATGAATTTGTTTGTGAGAAAACCAGCCGCGTGACATCCTTTTTCTCACAGAAACAAGATGAAAGGGTGTCCAAGGTCTTGTACTATTTTAAAACGTCACCTCAAATCTTTACAAACTTTTGGTACCTGACTAGCCAAGTTAAGGAACGAGAAGTCATATCACGCAAAAAAAACAACTTTTTCTGAGTTCATGTATTGGATGTCAACTGTAGCTTGCATGTAATGTGTAATAGGGTAAATGATGGGAGCCATTAGTTCTCCTACACAGAATCATGGGACTTGAATTAATTCTGCGGTATGAAACACGTCATATATAGGGTACATGCTGTCAACAGTACAACTTAAAGTTTGTGAACACACTGACGATGAAGAACAACTCCCAAAATTGGGAACTCCGAACATCCGAGGAACAAAAGGGTAATTTGGTGTTGGATTAATAAAATAAAATAAAAACGTTTCCAACTGAGAAAATTCATCAAGCAGGAATAACAACTCATGGAGTCAGAGAACATGTTTGTGTCCCACGTGCCAACTGCAGGAACATATGTTGTGTTGATGACACTCATGTATTGCTTACATTAAATGTGTAACATAATTAAATGTGTAACATTAAATGTAGCTCAGTCTGTAGGGACTTGGGTTGGGAATCGGAGGGTAGCCAATTCAAGTCCCGGCACGGATCAAGTCCGGATATTGGCCTGGGAGCTGGAGAGGTGCCAGTCCACTTCCTGAGCACTGCCGAAGTGCCCTTGAGCAAGGCACTGCATCTAACCCCCCCCCCACTGTGGGCAGCCCCCTCACTCTGAGGCCTCTACATTAGTGCATGTCAGTAGGATCCTGTGTTTGCATGTTTACTAGACAGAGTGTAAAAACGAATTTCCCCTCGAGGGATTAATAAAATTAAATTATGATATTGGAATCATTTTTTAATTATTTAAATAATTAATTAAATTAAATTAAAACTGAGAAAATTCTAAAAAAAAAGAAAAAAAAAAGAGTGGTATATTTAGAAAAACACTTTTTAGCCTGAATGTACCCTGATGGTCAAATACTATCTGTTTGTGCATTGTTTAAAATGGTATAAGGTCACAACTTAACATCTGAAAATGTGATTTAAACACAGCTTCTTTTTTTCTTTCCTTCTGAACACCCTCACCTTCCTTGAGAGCAGGCTTTTCCTCCTCACACCACAGGCCTCCAGCTGTAGCCTCCCTCTGAGGGCCAGTTCCACCAGCATACACCCTCGAAGGCCGGAAGAAATACAGTCGTTCCAGAAAGACGTGTAGCCCTGAGAGGAGGAGGAGGAGGAGGAGGAGGAGGGGGAGAAATGCACAGCCAAGGTGCAGCGTTTGTTAACTTAGCTGACGTGTTGGTATTAAAGTTTTAAGACATGGTTGGAGTTAAAAAAAAAAAAACCTGCCCAGGTAACGACAGCTAAGAGAGCCACGTAGAAAAGTAAACACGTTAATTGGCTTAACTTGGGATAATTGCTTTCATTCAGCGAGTCGTTCAGCTACTTACAAACAACAACAAAATGCAGCTTGTGCATTATATATGTTAGCATTTTGTGGCATGTTTACATACAACTTTAACTTCAAACGAGCTTTAAAATAGGACTTTTTCCCCCATACTTTGCTTCAGTGGTTAACAATGACTAGTTAACCTTTTTGTTTTGGGGTCAACTTCATGACGTTAACATGTTAGAAAAACAGTCCCTCACCTCTCGATCCTTGAGGCCCAGCAGCAACACTTCCTCCATCAGTGTGAGCCTCGTTTCCTTCGAGTCGCCCTTGTCGTCGTCCTCCTCCTCCCCGCGGCGCACCTCGTCCTCCTCCCCGTCGGACTCCCTCTCCTTGTCGGCGGCGGCGCTGCGAATGGCCTCGGTCCTCCGCTGAACGAGGCCCGAGGCTCTGTGCGTGAGAGCGGCCATAGCTGGTGTTGCAAAACGATCAAATGCTTGGAAGAGCGCCTACCTCGACCAGCCAGAGAGCTGCGCAGCATGCAACCTCTGATGTTTGAAAAGGTGAAGAAAAAGTGAAATGGTTTGACCCGATCAAATAAAGACGGCCGTTTTCGCTAAGCTCGGCTTCGGGATTCCTGCTTCGACTCTGCCCACTTCCTGATTCAACATGGTGGCGGTGGCAGTGACGCGTTTCACCGGAACGTTGAACGCATCACGCCTTGTTGCATTCAGGGACATTAAAATACAGGACATCTGAAAGGGCAACACCACGGTAAGCCTATATTAAAATCTAATTCAACTTTGGTCAACAATGCACAGACACGTTGAATTAAATGACCACTTTCAATAAAGCAAATATATCAATCTGTATCAAATATGGAGAAATTATTAGTTGCATAATAATATGAATAACATTTTAAAAACCTCTAAAATACACTTGTTGCGCATGTTATACTCTTGGATGTGCACTTCAAATAAATAAATAAATGAGCAATTTCACCAAGGCTACAACAAAATTTTATTTTATTTTATTTATTTATTTTTTGTCAATTTTATTTCATTAAAAAAAAACAATAAAGTTAAGAAAAACAAACAAACATAAAATCTCAAATTTTGAATGAAAATGACCACAACTTGTAAACCGACCTTTTAAATATGATTTGTAACTCCCATTTTGCAACTGCAGAGGTGCATGTAATCTAGAGAGTTTTATAATTACATCTAAATGGGCTTCTTGCAGCAATACCCCCCCTTGTTGCCCTCTGCCTTGAATGTGTTCTCCTTTGGACTTTTGACTTATTTACAATGAGCTATTTTACACAATAAAGCTGATAATCAATATCAACATCAGCCCTTAGATATAAGACCACATCCATTTTAATAATATAATAAATTACAATTTAAAGGAATATATCGGATTCATATTCAGAGAAATATAAAAGATATACATTAATACTAGTAGTTCTCGTTCAGATAAACCAAACACTAAATACACCGTGTAATTTAAGTAGTTGGGCACAAGGTGGCAGACTGCATTCAGGAAACATGACTAATCTGTTCTCCCTCTCCTGTTCTGTACAGGAAAACGGATGCTGCTAAATGGTCTTTCAAAACATGAATGTAAATTTCCTATCATTTGAAGAGCATGTATTGCAACAACTGAGGGGGATATTAGTGTTGATATTAGACTTTGACGTCAACTCTTTAATGCTGACATATACATTTACCTTACAACAGCGTTAATTCCGACTGTAACTAGATTTTGCCATCTGTACAGCTCAGGCAACCCTGTCACTTATTAAAGGAGCACTTTGTTTCTGGCAGACGTCCATTGTTGATGATGATGTAGGCTACATAGTCCCAAATGTCCTCAGCTTCACCTTACTCCACTTCCATCTCATTCACTGCAGTCCTCTCCTCATGTCAGTCAACTTACATTGTCGTATCATGCAGGACTGCTCCTGAAGCAAAGGAGTCAGGCGAGAAAAGAGGAGCTGGTTGTTTTGCTTTATTCTAAAAGAGAAGCACAAGTGTCACTTCATATAAAATAGCCTTTTGCATTGTTTTACATGATTTAAAAAAAAACAAAAAAAAAAACACAATTTATTTAGTCTTTAGTTATCCTTTAAAATACTTTAAGTGACGAGCATTTATAAGGAAACGTTGAACAGCAGGAAGATCATATAACAGATGATATAGTGATTTAATAAGCCCGATAATTTTCTGTGGAAGGAAAAAAGTGCATTGACCTGTTGTGGAAATGGGGATAATGTAGTGTTATACCATTATCATTGTGTTATTGTCTTGCATGGCATTGATCAATAGAGATGTGATTACAGTAAAGGTGCTACCTTCCTGCAGAGATCTCACAATCCTGGAGAAAAAAAATAAACAAACTAACATCCCATATATATTGTTTAGTATCCCAGAATCATAAAACTGCTGCACATTTAAACATCACTGGATTAACAGATTTTTTTTAAAGATTGTTTTTGAGCATTTAGCCTTTATTTGGCTAGAGTGGGAAATCAGGGAGAGAGAGTGGAAAATGAGCAGGGAGCCGGACTCGGCTGCCCGCTTGGAAGACTATAGCCTCCGCACACGGGGCACGACCTAACCGCTAGGCCATCTGTGCCCCTTAACAGAAAGTTTTCTTAATTTCTTGGTGTATTCACAAATAACAAACTGATTTTCATATATTTCCACCTAAGCATTAGCAAACTTTACAAAGGATAATTCTCTCAAACAGGAATATCTCGTGCCATTCTGCACCATACCGTAAAAAGCAATACTGCTCAAAAGACCTACACATCAGATAAGACCTACACATTCCAGGAGTCATTTGACGGCCTGTCCTCACAGAATCAAATGCTCAATGTTACATATGATTCTGCTCTTAAGATGTGTTTGAGTGTTGCTGCTGTGAGCACTGAGCCCGCACTCAATCTATGAAGAGGAGTCCCTGACTCTCCTGTGGAGACGTAGCCATCCTTGTATGGTCTGTTGTTTCAGGCATCAGAGGCCCCGCCAGCTGTGAAACATTTACGGGGAAGAAATCTGTGAAGGGGCGCTCCAGTAGCTCACCTGGTAGTTACAGAAGTAATATGTACTGAAAGTAACAAAAGTAAAAGTATTCAAGATCGACGGGTAGATAGATGGTGGATGGAGGGATGGATGGATAGATGGATGTAGACCCTGTGATTTTGATTTTATAATACTAAGGGAACAATGCAAAAGCAAAAGTAAAATTTAACATTGTTATTGGTCAAATTTATGTTGATTTATAATCAATTTGTTTCTTTAAGCTAATTTGGCATTGCTTCACATTTTATTTCATTTCACATATATTTAAATACATTCTTTATTAGTTAGTTACGTTTGCAGAAAATACGATAATATTCCCCTCTAAACTGAAGTAGCATCGATATAGTGGCTTAAAATCAAATACAACAGTACTGAGTTAATGTAATTACTTATATTAAACCTCTGTTCGACAAAGCCATAAATTACTTCTCTATAAAATTTGGCATTTTATAAACAAATGAAGTCTTTATTTTCAGCACACGATAATCTCTTTGTTTTCTTCTTCCCTAATAAACTTGACCAAGAAAGTCATAACACCTCACAAACAGCCTGCAAAGTAACAAACACTGTCTATTCCACTGCTGTAATGAGGCAATAAGTGTGGCCCTAAAAATTCCTTGAGGAGATGATTCCCCCGACGGTTGGAAATATGCCCTGTGTAAACAACTATCTCCTCCACCATCACAGCCGAGAGATGGTTTTCCGACACTCTGACCATCTAAGTAGAATACTTGCACACGGGCCAAGATGACAAGACGTACACGCATGGGAGTGTTAGGCCTGGAATAGTCAAATAAATCTCCTCATGCTTTAGTCAGTGTACAGGAAGATGGACAGGGAGAATTTACTATTTAAATACTAAAGTCATCAGACAAAATAACAAAATAAATGTGTTTATAGATTTAAATGTAATGTCTATTAAATGCAATACCATAAGCAGACATTAAAATCCTATCCATTAAAAGTCCCAATTATTTGAAATGTAAAAATGAGACTTGATGTCAATGTTTCATGATGGATCGGCTCATCTTTTGTCGCCCCACTGACACTATTAATAAACCTTAGGGTCCCTGTGAAGCCCAGCAGAGATCTATGGTTTCAAATGGTCCAAGCTAAACATCTGCATTTTTCACTTTGTACATTTTTGCTCACTGATCCTGCAGCTCTGGTCCTGACAAGATGCCTAAATCACTCCCAGAGCTTTGTATGAGGCCACACTCAGGCCCATATTGGAGCCATTTCCTGTCTCTGGAGTGGGCAAAGAGTTGACCCTCCGTGCCCCCGTCTATATAAATGCGCATGAACACACTCGAACACACACACATGCACACACTCTTTAAAGCCCCCACTGAGAGAACTATGGCAGTCACTTACCAGTGCAGTGCTGTAAGTGAAATACAGAATCTTTCAATTGACCGCTACAGAACAGCTCACTGGAGAATAATGGCTGAGAAAATATAATTATGTTTAATAGCTTGTGATATTCCAAAGCCCCAATGAATACCAGAAGGTTGAGAAAAAGCAGAATCTCAATTTTGGGATCACATGAAGATTGCTCGATATATGAATATCCTATCAGTTTTCTTGCAGCTTGTTGGAATACAGAGAAACAAGATAGGCCAAACTGTGTGCGAATAATTGGAGAATCAAAGGTCACATCTGCAAATTTCTCCTCAGCTGATATTACTTCTCAGTTTTAAATGAGTGTGAAACAGAAGCTTGGTGCTATTCATGCTGCGATTATGATAGCAGCACGCCCAAGGACATGCTGGCTTGGAGGCCAGGTGGGCTAAATAAGGCTATACAGTTAGAATATTGAAAGAGAAAAAAGTAATGAGGAGAATGAAAATAAGCAGACTTATGCCCATTTACACATCTGCTCCAACGTTGAACAATTACGGGAAGTGCTCTCCCTTCGCACCTATTCACAGTGGCATGAATAATAAACACAACAATGAGGCAATGCATCTACAACAGCATATACTGCGATCGAGCAAAGAGGGATTTTACTTGATTTCACTTCACAGCACAGGCATGAATACATGTATTGAAAGTTTCCTATCTGGGACAAAGATCAGTCAATGGGCTGAGGAAGTTGTTTATCACGTGCGCTTGGCTGAATGAAGCCATAGTCTCGGAATCAGCCACAAACAGAAATCACAACACTGGATAGATGAACTTCTACTTGCTGGACACCAGACAAATCTTATTAAACCGACTTTAATGTCAGTTATTATAGTTGTGAATGAAACTACATTTGGCTTGATTCAACCGCAGTTTGATTGGCTGCAATTTTTTTAAGTGGCTGTAATCAATATTGGAATCAAATTAAAATAGGGGAAATGCTACAATGGGATATTGATGAACTGTAGAAGACATTTATCGCTGCAATCCACAGAACTTTAAAGTGAGTATTAGCTCATTGTTTGGCTGACTGGCCGGCAACTTTTGGTTCAGTCTCACAGCTTTCATAATGTATTTAAGCCCCACGATGCACACTTCCTTCTCATTTTTTCTCATTGTGTCCAAAATTACCCACTACTTATGTTGTACATGTTTTGTATGGAATTTGCCGTTTTTTAGCGCTGCCCAAATTAT